CAATTCTTGCAAAGTGTGTGTGTGTGTATGACTTCTTTAGTGTATTCATCATCATTATCATTTGTCTTGTTTTGTTTTGACTAAAATTCTTAAAACTCTAAATCAATTAGTTTCAAATAAATAAGTTAGTAGTAATTAGTATAATTTAAGTGTCGAATAAATAGTTTCCTATGACTAATTTTTGTTGTTGATGTTGTTTGAATGTGAATTTGTTTGTTTGTTTGTTTTTGTTTGCTGCATTGATTACATTGTTAGTATTTTCTTTCATTTTCAATTCAATCAATTGGATTTCCACCAAAATGTTAAACCTTAAAAAATTATTCATGAAAACCGTTTTGTTCTTTTTTTTTGACTAAGTGAAATGGCATTGCGCCTGATGCAACCAGAATGCAAACTCTCGCAAAATAATCAAAATGAATTTTTTGATTTGGTGTGAGTTAGTAAGTAACATTGCCGCTCTGGTCTGAACTGAAATCATAGATTCAATTACGCTTGCCTCTTGCGCCACATCTCCAGATTAATAGAGATCGAAATTTGTTGCATTCTTTTTTTTATGCAAATACTTTTACAAAACAAAAGCAGCTAATGATTTAGTGTTTCTTAATTTATCGTTAAAATGTCTCTCATTTCACACGCTAATCTACATCATTAGTAATACTCTAGAGTTTCAAATAAATTAAAAAGAAAATTCTAAATCCATTGGTTTTTTTCTTTTGGTTGTCCTATATAAATGTCATGTTACACATTTTTGGTTGCGTTTCGAAAATTATACTCTAAATTAAATGCACAAGTAATGTCATAATGGTGTCGGAGTTTATTTGCCATATTTTCACAGTTTTATCGCATATAAACTAGCTATTTGTTTATTTGGTACAATTTGAGAGTATCCACCAATTGAAATTTGAGCAGATGAAATGAAACGGTGCAATGGCAATCATTAAATATTATATTTATTTCCATCTGGTATTGATGCGATTGAACAAAAAATATGATCGTTTCAAATGTTCGATCAAAATTGAACAGATTCCAAGATGGTTCAACTTGGATCGAGAAATCGACAGATTTCATCATGGGGTTGACATTTTCGCAGTCAACTTTTTGTTCATTTTTTTTCCAAAGACTGCCATCATATTAACGTCAAAGAATAGAGTTTCTATGCATTTGTATTCTGTGATCATCTCTCTAACTAATATATATTATTATATATATAATAAATTGTGAACAGAGTTGTAGGGGAACTTCAATTAGATTAGCAATTTGCGATTGTATTTGGCTCTATTTTGTAAACTAACTATTTGTGTGTGTGAGTGTTTTTTTTTGTTCATTGACTTTTACAATTTATATACATGAAAATATGTGTATGTGTGTGTGTGTGTCTATTTGAGAAACATAAACTCTTTAAAGATCTCTCTCCTAAGTCATATTTGTTTTGAAAATTGGAATCGATGCTATTCTGTTTGTGAGTGTTTTATGTTTGGGTCTGTTGTTTTGCGTATAAATTGTGACCATTGATGAGCTATAATCGGCGACATTCAGAAAATGATGCACATTTCATTTTCTCAAACTCAGTTTATCATTCGAAGGGGAGGAATTAACTAATTAGAAAAATAGAATTGGGCTTAGAATTTTTTTTTCTTGGTTACATTTTTTTTAGTAGTATGTATGTGTTTTTGTTATCCTCATTTTAGTTTCAAAAAGGGTAAATCTTCTATACTTCTACGTCTTAAACATTACAAAAGAAACTGTATAACGTTAAATGTGTTAGAGATGGTTGAATTTTGTTAATGATTTTTTTTTTGTTGTTGTTCATTTTTCTAATAAATAATGAGTAGAATTTAACCTAAATGGAGAAAAATAAGTTAATTACAAATAAATTGTGAGAAATAAATACTAATAAATTAAACCACACGCAATTACACGCTTTGCACGCACGAAATAGCAAAATTCTTGAAATTCATTCTCTCGCTGACTGAAATGACTATCAGAATCAGAAGAAAATCAAAATTTAAAATTGTTGCAAAAGTTTTTATCCTTAAAAATTAGATTGCCGTTTTTTGTTTGTTTTTGTTTTGTTTACGCGAGATATAAATAAATTCAGTGTAATTTCAAAATTGCTATGGAATGTTTCCGTTTACGAAATCTCTTTTCTTTGCTTCTTTTTATTTGTGGTTGTCAGTTTGCAATTGGTGGGCATAGTGTAATAGTGTCATGTATTGTTTTTGGCCATTTTCTTTTAGCCCATTGAATTTATTGCTATATTCACCAAATGCAAATATCGCTATTTCACATTTTTCTAATTTTAATTTGTTTTTACTTTCAATACTGGAATGTGTGCAACTCTCGCAATTAAACGAAAATTTGTGGTGAATAAAAAATGGAATGAAAAACAATGACAAAAAGAAGAAAAAATCATTTGTTTTGCGACTTTTTTTTTTGTTTTTTAGAGTTTTTCCTTTTCAACAATTGACTGAATGACACAAAATAAAATACCCGAAATATATTGAGATTAACATTCAATCATGATGCGCAACATTTAGAACAAAAATTGCAATTTATGGGCGAAAAAAAATAGATATATGTTTAGTTTAAATGTCAGATTTTGTTTTTCGTTCGAATGGTTTGCCTTTAATTTCGATGGATTTTTTCATGTGTTCTACTGTAAAAATCTCGGTTTGCAATTTGAGTTCATGTGACGCTTCATGTTGCTGTGAATGTTGGTTTTGTAGCCACACATTCGTTCGCAAAAGAATTTTGGCGGTTTTCCACATTCATTTTTAATGTGACAATTCAAACTGTTTTTCCATTTATATTGACGCTTGCACACTTTACATGACCATGGTTTCTCATCTTCCGCATTGAATAGCATGTCTGTTGATGAGGCGAGTGATTCTCGTTTAACATCACGTTTCAATGCTTTCGATTGGGTTGGTGAATTGGCTGAATTATTTCCGCTTGAACCGCTTGAACCACTTGTATTTGTCCTGTTGTGCCGCAAAGGGAGAGAAAAATAGAACGGAAAACAAAAAAGAAAGGATTAAAAAAATTCTTATGAAACCTTAATGAAAATTGATCTAAATTCAAAACGGTTTTGGTATAACTTATCAATAGTGCAATAGTGTTTTTGTGTTTCATATAAATTGACGTACCTTGTTGGCGTTTCGTTTCCATTTTGTGTGCTGTTTGTGTTGGAATTAGCGCTGGCGCTACTTCGTGATGTCATTGGTGAGATGACCGCTGATTTGCTCGCTGATTTGACGGTTTTATTGCGATGTGAACCGATTGTACTGGCAAACAATGCAAATTGGCCACGACGTGCACCGGCCGTTTTGAGTGCGGTCAGCATTTTTTGCTGTTGCACCGACCGTCTATTTACATGTGAATTATTCAATTGCCATGACTGCACACCTTGACGCGATACTTTCAATCGATTGCCCGGTTGCTTGTTGGCATTTTGAACAGATGACAACGATGGTAATATTATGATTGGTGATGGACTTCGTTCGATTTTGATTAGTTTCAATCCGCTAAAATGCTCAACTTTTGGTTTTGAACGATTTTTTTTAAATTGGCATTTTTCGGTTCCGATCAACATTTGTTTGAGGGTTAGATTGTATTTCCGTGTGTTAGATTTTGGTTTATTTGATTGTGTTAGATTTTGATAAATTGAACATTTGATGCGTTTGATTGGTTTTAGTTGTGGTTGTTATTTGAACACATTTAATTTGATTTTGATTATTATTATTATTTTTTTGGTTTGATATGCGTCGTTATGAGCGCGTATAAGCACACACACATTGAGCAAATGAAAATTATGCATCGAAATGGAAAAGAGAGAAAAAGAGAAGAAATTATTCGGTTAGCATAAATTAATTAGTTAGTTAATTTCATCTGGATTCGACACACGATTGATTTGTATAAAAACGTTTTGACAATGTACACGCGCGCATTTCACGTGATCACAGTGCAAGCAAACGATCAACGATCGATAATATTCAATCATTTACTTCGAACTCAACGAGTTTAAAGCAAGTGACAAAACACTTTTCTTGACACTGTTCTCGATCGAAAAACATCACACGTGTATCGCAAGAACGTTTCCAATAGTGTGTATGAAACTCAGATGAGAAAAAGCATATTTATCATATCAATCAACAAACAGTACAAACAAAAAAAACTGATGAAAAAAAACTCGAAATTCAAATGCAATACACAATAATATTCACAGGCGACAAAAATACACACAAATATTTATTTTATAGAAAAATGAACACAAAAAAAAACTTTCTAGATTTTTAGCAATTAAGCTAATTAGTTAAAGGCTTCAAACTTCGTATGGTGATTGTGTATGGATATATTCATAAACGAACAGAACATATAAAATTTTTTTTTGCTAGAAACTCATTTCTGTTGAAATAAAAAAAAAGAAAAAATTCGATTAAAAAAGCATATTCAATAAAAAAAAATGAAATCTCAAAAATTGAATTAAGACAAATGGTTGATCGCATGATATAGAATGTTTTTTTATTTCATTTTTTTGTTTGTTCTTTATTTTGGAATTTTTGTTATTTTGTTATTTAACTCTGGGCCGGAAAAGCACATCTGTCACTTTGAAATCTCTCAATTACAAAGCTTTTGCTCGTCTCGTCTTCGGCCTAAAAAAGAAAAGAAAAGAAATAAATTAGTAAGAGAATTTTAAAACCATGACTACATCCCGATCGTTCGTTTAGGCCTGTCTCTTGAAGATAAAATGATAAAAGAAACGCTTTATTATAATTAAATGTCTTTATTCAATTGCCGTATGATACGGAGCAAAACACTAAACTGAATATATAAATATGTATATACTTTTATTTAAACGCGATTTAAATGAATCCTGTATACCAAAACGAGATGTGATCAGTGATCGGTGTTTTTCTCTTGGTTTAAATCAATTACATCATTTTCTTCTTGAGAATATATGGGTTGGATTTGTTTCAATATTATTCGTCTCTATTGTTCGGTTTTTTTTTATATAAATGGAATGATGGTGAAGAGCACCCATTATCATTGGCTTATACTGTATCATGCATGTGGAATGCATCGTGCACCACAAAGTGTTAGCGCAAAGCTCATTGTAAATTATTGATTTTTTTTTTCGTTTGCGACTTTTTTTTACCGAAACCTATGATATGATCAACATTCTGAATAAAAAAAATGCATCCTTTTCATGGTTAAATCGCTCGTTTCAGTTACTGATCTAAAGATTTGTTGATAAAAACGTGTGCTGTTCATAATTGTTCATCATTCTATAGCTTACATAACTAATGGAATATCTCTTTATAATTTTATAATAATTTTTTTTGTAAAAGTTTTTTTTTTCTTCAATTTTTTTTTGCAAACTAATAAACATTTGTTTGTGCAACATTCATCATTTTCCACCTCCTAAAAAAATAAACGATTTTTGTTTTGTTTTCTTGGGATTATGGCTGTTAATCTATAAAATAGAAAACAGGAGATGAAATTAATGGAAATGCGAATGCACAATTGTAATTACAAAGTAGTACATAGAGCAAAAAAAATGTACGTGTTTAAACATAAATCAATAATAAATTGAAAGAAATAAAAAAATAGAAGGAAAAAAGAAAACAATACAAATCGACTTGAAATGTTTGAGTGAGACTGACTTTCGCGATACATTGTACATTTTAACATAATCCTTTCGTTTTTTTTTCTGCGTTTATAATAATACAATTACTGTGTCAGTAAATTGGAATGAATGAATACGATTTACTCTTTTTCTCTTCTTTTCTCAAGAGATATATCACTATGAGCGATCAATTACAAAAACAAAAACGATTGAATTTTCTTCTCTAAATGGACATTTGATTCAAATCCTGTATGAATGGAACGTATATCTCGGTATTAAATAACTTTTGTTTATTTTGCGTTAGCGCAGCTGTTTCAAAAAAAAATTAGAGAAAATAAAATGGTATTTCATCGGCTGGAATGAGGCGTGGCCTTTCAAAAAATATCTTGTTTTTTGTAATTAATATACCGTAAATTCAAATGTCCTTTAAATGTCAATTGTTTACAATGTATTCATCGCGGTTTGCATATAAATTGTTTTTTTTTTTTTATTAATTCATTGAGTATTCTCTGATTATATGGTTTTTCTTATTATTTTTTTTTCTTTGATTGAAAACGATTCAAAAAATTTTCATTTTTAACAATAAACATTTATAGAAAATAGGCAAAACGAATCGTGATCGATTTTGTTCGGCCCAAATGAGAGTTGCGTCTCATTTGTTTTTCTGTACTCTTTCTCTCTCTTCTCTTCTACATATACACATATATAACAAACAAAAAACAAATCTTTTGTGAAAACTCATATTTCATATGGTTAACTGGAATGTATGTGGTTTCATTCATGTATCTGTGTGTGTGGGTGTCTTTTGTATTAATATTCTTGCGCGCCTGCACGATCATTGACTTTGTTTATATCGCTTCTTGGTGAATCGAATGCTTCAATTAATTGATTTTGAAACACACTCTTTATATGGTTTTTACTCTACTTTCATTCCGTTTTCTATCGAAAAGTGAACATACTTTTCAAAGGCACATTTTCTACCGAATCTGAATATTTTTTTTCTTCTCTCAGCGAAATTTTTTATATGCAAAATCTGTCTGTTTTACTTTCATGTGTGAGCGCGAGTTATTTAATCAATTGGGAATGCAATAGATTATATTTTGTTTTAGATTAAAATACATATACATATATATTAAAAGAATGTAATAATATTAATATCGATTTCTCCAACAAGGATCATTCCTTTTGATGCGTCTCGATTTATGTGGTGGCGATTTATATAATTTGTTGGGAAACTTTTCATCATCTTGTTCTACACATATGGTTTTGACATCTCTCGAAAATAGAAAAAAATGTTATGCCACCATGCATATAATATTTTTCAATAGAGAAAATCAAATGATCCAACACTTAAAAAAAAAAATTGAAAATGTGACTCCTGTATTTGACGCATCGAGTCGCGATTTTTTTTTAAATATTTCATTTGTTTCAATCAAGCGACGATTTGATGACATTGAACCATCAAGCTTGAAAAATATCGTAAGAATAATTATAAATGTAGTAATGAGGTAAATTTTGGTCTCTTAAGGAAATAAATTATCATCTCTCTTATTGAGAATGAACGAAAAATATAATTCAAATGAATGGCAAACACATTTGTTTCCCGTTCGTTTCATTTTCAATATGGAATTTCTTCGTTCTCTCTGAATCACTTTGACTGTTCGTTCAAATAAGAAAAAAAAAAATTCGGTAGGCTATTCTATCAAGCTGAGCTGTATATAATTCATTTCAATATGACACTGACTCTATGTAGAATACTGTAAAAAACTTGCTAGTGAAAATGGTGGCTTAATCAATAACCAGCTATTGTCTAATAATTGAACAATTCAACAACGAAAATGGTGGAGCAAAAATTTCGATAAAATTCATTTGGATTTTTAAATTGGTACAATATTATTGTTTTGTGTGTTTTTATCGGTGTATGTATGTGTTTCTTTTCGATATGGCGTTTTCGATTCATTTTCATTTCACATTAATTACTAAAAAACAATTGAAAAATAATTATCAAATACCTATGAAAAAAATATAAACGCTAAGAAATTTATATCGACTTCATAAAACATCGATTGCTTTGATTATTATTGGTGTCTTTTTTTGTGTTCCATAAATTGTAAATATATAGAAAAAAAAATATGTGCATCAAATATGAAAATTGCTTATTTACACGTATTGAAGAGGAAACAATGGGTCTTTAATAATTGTTTTGTATTTGTTTTATCTCGTCGTTTTTGGTCCCATTGAATTCGAGAATAAAAACATCTTCTCAAAACAAAACAATCGAAAGAAAGAAACCAGTTCCCGCTCACAATCAAGCGAGCCGAGAAGTCGTTTCTTTCAACTTATTGGGAATTCATGATGCGTTTTATAAATGCAAAGAACTTATTTGTCTTTCGGTTTTAAAATTCAACTTCAATTAAACTTTTGTTTTTCATTATTTCTCACCTCACAATCGAATCTAATATATCGGTATGACTTTAATTGCGTGAAAAATGTGAATATGTTTCACAAAATGCGCGCGATCGCGACAAAGGAAAAAATATCATTAAATTGTGAGTGTGTGTGTATATTTGTGGGTGGAATGATATATCATTTGTGTTTTGGCATTATCATTTTAAAAAAAATAAGAAATTCTTTCCCATTTTGCTTTTGTTTTTACTTTCGTCTGTCTATGTTCATGTATCTTTAAACAGTTGAGTTTAAATTTTGTGCATCGTCTTTAATATTGACTACTTGAATGCCATTGCTCATTTCTAATTTGATTTTTTCTTTGTGCATACGTTCCAAATGTCGATTAATGTGCATCTTTTGCTTTGCTTTATATACACAAAATGGGCATGAGAATTGTGGCTCTTTGCCACATTCCCATTTTTGATGGTTACGCAACGATGATTTAAGCTTATAGAATCGCCCACATTCGGGGCATGAAAAACCTTGTCCATTTTTCGATTCACCATCGCTTGATTTGTCACCATCGATGCTGGTATCTTTATTGGTTTGTTGTGATTGTTGTCCTTTTTGCTGTTGAGCGACAGTTTGGGCTGGTGTCGTTGGCATTTCGGATGAATCATCTTCGTTTGGATCATTTTCATTGGAATCGGGCGAACTACTTCGATCACCCGATGGGAATACTAACGGTTGTTGACCTTCTTGCATTGTCACCAATGGCATCACCAAATTTGCATTCCACTGTGCCCATGACATTCCAGCTATTTGTGTTATGCCCATACTCTCTGTTGCTGCTTAATTGAATGGGTTTTCGATTTTTTGTTTTGGTTTGGTTTATGTAGAAGAGACGCACATAAATAACACGCAAATTGGGTAGAGGGTGTGTGAAAACATAAAAAGAAACAAAAAAAAATGGAAAAAACAAAGAGAAAAAACCAAAAATAAGAAACGAATTAAAATAAAGTCTAGGTATAAATGATCCAATTACATTGAACTTGCATACAATGAATAAAGGGAAAAATAATAACGAAAAAAAAAAACGCAAAAAATATATAATTTTAATTGCCATAGTTGAAAATGTGCTGATTATATTAAAAGATAGATTCAATTTAAGATTAAATTAACATGTTAAACATTGAGACGCTATGAAATGAATGCACGGGCACGAGGTTTGCATAAACAAATTAACAAATATGCAATAGATTTGATTTTTTTTTTATACAACGTTCGAATGAATGTCGAATGAGCTTATGGTATGATGGTGTATTTGTGTGTTTTTGCAAATGAAAATGACACTATTTCGGGTAAATTTCGAACAACGAACTCAACCGAATTATGAATTAATTACAAATTTGGTTAGCGATTACTTTGTTTTTAAGTTTACGGTAGCTATATGTTAAATAAAGGGATTTGTTCAATTATCAAATCATATATACGAGACACACGATTGGAAAATATAAACATATTTATGAATTAAGGAGATAGACAGTACAACCCGGCTGTACATATAGGTTATATATATAAAAAATATAAAATAATTATAAGCAAATATACAAAACTACAAAACAGAAAAGGAAAATAAAACGGACAAACAACATTTATTTATGTTTTAAACTGGTCAATAAGGAAACAAAAATGGTTAAATTTTGTTTTATTTGGAAAAAAATCACAATCGAAAAATAATAAGAAAAAAACAAAGAGGAATAAATAATTAGCGAGAAGAAAAACGCTGGCATTGAAATTGTGTGTTTTTTTTTTTTTTTTTGGGAGGAGATGCTGACAATTAGCGCAGTACTAGTGTATTATAACAGCATAGTTAGCAATCGTCTTTTCGACTTATTGATTTTGCTATTTCGCACACGCACAGGAAGCTTACTTATCGATGCTTATATCCATGTACAATTTTCTTCAATTGCAAAATGTTCCTGATTCGTCACCATTGGCATCATTCGTCATCATCATCGTCTACCTAAAAAACAAAAAAATCGATTAGAAAAAAATGAATTTTATCAGATGTTTGAACCATCACTGTTTCCAAGCCGCTTCTTCTTTTTACTTTCCTGAAATTTTAACAAAATTTATTCCAAAACATCACAATACATTTAAAACAACGTTTTTTATTTGGTTCCTAAAAAGTGTTTTGATTTGTTCGATACAATCATGTCAATTGAAAAAATTATTGTCAACCTTAACCTTGTATATAATTTTGAGTCCCCTCAACGGTAAAGGTGTTAAGGAAGTCATGGTGGTACCGAATATTTTTCCGATCCTTTTCAGGTGCTTCTGTGCACCTTAACCATTGAAGGATCCTTATCAAATGTGATCTCATGTACGTTTCTAGCCGAGAGTGTCAATGAGTACTATTAAAATATAAAACTCTTCTTCTTCAATTGCTAGATCGGAATTTTAACATGTAAAAAAACATGGAAAAATGTCCAAATAACGTTTGAAGAAGAAGAATATGTTTCACTTTATATCATACAAAACATGATTAACTCTGCCCGATGTGTCTGAATGTCGTCGATCAATATGTTGTTTTACGCTATTTTTACGTTTCGCACGATATTCACAGTGGGGACACTGGAATGTTGGTAATTTGCCACATTCCCATTTTCGATGGTATCGCAAATATCGTTCTTCCTTATACGATTTGCCACAATCACATATGAAACGTCCATCGTTGTCAAGAATTGTTGGCGTTAAAATCGCCGGCATTGTCATATGATAACTGTACTCATCGAGCATACTGTCACTATCATCGATATCCAAATCGCTCCCTTTATTCTCACTGTCATCGAACACATACACAATTTCCGAATCTGAAATAGACAAAAACCAGAAATGAAAATAATCAATTAGTATAAATAGTTATGGCATATTTGATGATTTCTTTTCTTTTAAAGCGCGAATAAACACTAAAATAAATATATTTCTTTCTTTATTTTTTATCCATTCGAATGTAGCGGTAATTAGCCAGCCTTACAATTTAAAAATAAATAGACGCAATCTAAAACGATAGCGTTTCATTCAAAATCTATTAAATGATATTTTTAACTAGTTTTAAAAGTGAATAATTGTTTGATTGATAATTCTATTTTTGTTTGTTTAAATAACGTTCGAAGCAAAAAATATGATTGACGCTTATCGTGTTTAATGGACATCAAATGAACGCAGTCAATGTCTGCGTCTGGCACAGTGTGTATTCACATTAAAAATAATTTTGAAACGGGAAAATGTATATATTCCCTTTGAGCGGTGATTTTGAGTTTGCATTGATGTGTATTAAGCACAATAAACCTAATTCAACATTTCATCGTAATTGTATTATAATCGATAGTTGGTTATGTGTTGGATGAATTGTAGTTGAAACTTATAGCACCTCCGATATGATCGAGTCTAAAAAAATGTTGCGTGCAAAGAAGAGAGAAGAAAGGAAAGAATAGTATTAGAATTTGAAATGATAAAATGCTGTTTTTTTTAAGTCTACTTTGAATTTGCATCAAAAGGATACAAATAAATTAAATTATCATTTATTAAATTTGAAAAAAAATTCGATTTTATTGTTCAATAAAAAAAAAATTAATTAAGATTAGTACCCTTAATTAAAAGCGATGCGCTGAATGCTGATTTCCGAAATCATTTTCGTCCATGTACGATTTGAATGTGTTTGTTCATGTTGCTTTTTCGTTTGAACATATATTTACAGATTGGACACTCGAACGATGGCATTTTTCCACATTCCCATCGCTTATGGAAGCGTAAGCTACTGTTATGCGTATATGACGTGCCACATTCACATCGAAACCGTTTTGCGATCAATGTTAAAGTTTTTTCCGGATCCATTCCATACCACCAATCTAAAATCGAAAAGAAAACACACAAACAATTCGCAAACAAAATGAGATTATTGTTACAATTTCGAATTTGGTACTTGATTTAAAACTAAATGTTAAAACTATTTACGAATTAGAAACACTAAACTATCATTTATTTCCCATAATTTAATTATCCTTCTCAAAAATATGCATTGTTTTCAAGTAGTTTTTAGTTCTTTATTTTTGGACTGTAAACAATTCTATATTTCGGCTAGTTACAGTATATGGTTTTTAGTATGAAAAAAAAAAAAATCTTGGCGATGACAACTTACAAAAATGCGAAAATTCAATTAAAAACCACCGTATTTTTTGGTTGTTTAAGGCACCTATCTCACTTCGCTTGGTGCTGAAATAAAAAAGAGAGAGAAAAAAAAGCATCGATTAGAATGGAGATCATTTTAAGTAAATGATTCAAAGAACCGCATTGGAATTGAAAATTGTCTTACATTTTTCAAGAGCAAACAAATAAAAATGGTTTCAATGGTGTGCCTTTGAAATGTGTGACTTAAGATTGTGTTTATGTTTGGCACGAAAATTACAAAATTGACATTCGAATTGGGCATCGATGCCGCATTCAAGACGTTCATGTCGTGATCGTGTATATTTTCTTGCATAAACACGATTACATTTTCGGCATGGATAAATTTCCGACATTCCAAATGCAAAGTGTTCACCTAAAATGAAACGAGAGAAGAAAAAAAAGAGAAAAAAATTGTGTGATTAACATTTGACTTATTTTTTGAAAACCAAAAAAAAAAAAAAAGAAATAAAATGTTAGCATTAGCTGAAACCACCAAAAAGATATATGTACAAAAAATCTACAACATATAATTACAAACACCGTTTGAACCGTTCCAATTTTGTTTCTTTTTTTTACTTGTAAAATATTTATTTCTCGATTTCTTCATTTTCTGCTTATATAGATCGATTTAGTAAATCTAAAAAAAATCCATTTTTCTTGAAAAAATATTATGTTTTTTTTTATGTGTTCATCAAATCAATGTGTATCCGTCAATTTGTTTTTGTTTACTTGTTTGAAAGACTTAACTAATTCAAAATTTAAATGGCTTTCATGTCGTTTCTTTAAAAAAAATATATATAGTGTATATAAAATGAGCGTAAATTAGAAATGTTTTTGTTTTTAGTGACACAAAATATATGAGTACATGAAGTTATTAGACCGAAATTATTGTATTCACCCGAAATATATATATATGTATAAAATATAAATATGTAAACTATGATCCTTTCCATTTTGCAAATGATCCAAACATAATGACGTACATTAATGATATACATAATATTTGCTTTTTGTTGTTTTGTTTATCCCATCGCGAACAAAAATTGCACGATTGAGATTAAATTGATTGTTTTCCAATGATTTTCGGTTATTTTTTTTTGTTAAAAATTAGTGTTTGGCTACTAATTGTTGAATGTTTTGGAAAAAATGATTAGTTTTTTTAAAATATAGAACAAGATTTATCATTTTTTTTTATAGAGTCGATGCCCTGGCCATGATGGCAAGAAAATACTTTTGAGCTCCAATCTCATGGTATTTGTTGTGGAATCGATCACGATATTCGAACAACATCAAAATGATACATGACAAACGAAAAATTGTTGTCACAAATTGAATTTACAAGACGGCAATCCACCTCAGATAAGTATTTCAAGAATATTTTCCCTGCCATTTGCCAGAGTACGTAATATTGTGAATAAACTTTCCATTTATCTATAGTAAACATGTTTCATTTCATTCTCCAAATGTATCTTTAAACGCTATCTTTTCTTGTTTTGTTTTTTTATTCGATATTTGGTGAATTTTTAAATGCTATAGTCTTTAATATGATCAACAATTTCAAGCTCAACATCTATAATTTTTGGAGGAATTTTTCTCTTGTGAATGAAAAATAAAT